TTTATCTACCTGTTTAGCTATTCCTTCCCACCTGACTGTGGAGTCCCTGGGGGCAAGAACCACCCCTGCTTGTTCACCTCTGGACATTCACGGGCCTGCTAAGGGAGTGCTTAGCATATAATTCTTCAGTTGAGACTGCCTGAGCCCCACAGGTGGAGAGCACAATTTCAGCAGGTGGATTAATGGCACGAGACAGGGCATTGGAGTGGAAGTGACGGCACAGGCAGGCAAAGTCATCAAAGGGGAGGTTCCCTGGCATATTTGCAGAAGAAAGAAGACCAATGTATCTAAAACCTAGGACACAGTTCACTTAGGGTGGTTTTGAAGTCGACAGTGGAATCTTTATGTATCTTTTAAGTTTTGGGTCTGTTCTTGATTTTTTTTTTAATTAGGTCAGTGTTTGTTAAGGACAGTAGATAGGTAGAAGAGAAAGTTTATTTCTATTCTTGGCTCACCTCCCCCACTGACCTTGAGTTTTAAAAAATAGAGAGCATGATCTTGTGTGAGTCTCCATTATCACAGAGTTCTGGGCGGGATAACGAATGGATATTAAAAAAAAATCTTTCTGTGTTATCAGAAGATGGCTTTCATTATTTGTATCCCTGGACTTCTATGCAGTGTTCTTTCTATTACTTACCTCTTTTTAAAATCAAAACATTCCATTGAAAAAATAATGTTGATTTAAATGATGAATTCTGTTGATTTTAATGATTGAAGGCCAGTTATCCTAGAGATGTAATTCTGGGAAGATTTGATTTAGTGAAGTCCAGCCTAGCCCTTACTGTCTCTTTCTCAGCTCTGGACCTGTTCTTTATTCCAGCTGAGATGTTTATTTTATGTATAAAAGAGCTCCCGCCTGCCTATGACTGGTGATTAAAAGCTCAGAATAATGAAATCTGCAGTTGAAACTTGGCTGTTGGCTACAGTTATTATGCAACTCTTAACATTTCCCTTTTGTTTCTGTCAATAATATAAAATTCTCAGTTTTTCTTTCAGAGCTAACTCTTCAAATACACTAAAATTTGTGGCACTCATATCTTTTTAATGATCATGCAAAATTATTTCTTAAAGTTCAGATTTTATGCTTTTTGAAAAAACAAGAAAATTTAGTAGCTGTGCAGTATCATCATTCAGACTGTCTGTGAACAGCTGAATGGAGCTAGAAGTACAAAGGCCCCTCTGTGGGACTTAGATTTTTGTCTTTGAGCAGACTGCTCACCATACCTTGGTTGAAATAGCAAATATAACCAAAGAAAACAGCAAAAGTGATATATGACGACGCAGCATATTCCAATAGTGGGGTGATTCAGAACAATTAGGAGACCCCTAGTGAGGTGTCTTAGACAAATGAGGACGTTTTCTATGCCCACCCAGGCTGATTTCTAAATGTTCCTGTCCAGAGCAAATAGGCACATCTTGGGTTTCATCAGCCACAGTGCCCTGAATTATGGGGGCAGGACTCTAAGGGTCATGTAGTCATAATGCAAGTGAGGGAGTGGATGTGCCCGGCACTTCCTGGGAGCCTGTTTCATAAGAAGAGGCTGGAAAACCATGAAGGCCATCAGCTTAAAGACTGGAGGCGGGGGTGGGGTGCCACCATAGGACGGGTTTAAAGAGGGGAGCAGAGCAGTTAAAGTCCCATTTGGTTGTGTCACTGTTTTGCCCATGGTTGGCCCTAGGAGAGAGTCACAAGTTAAATTAGGGGAATCTTTGCACCAGAGGGGGTAGCCAGGGAAGGTTTTAGAGAAAAGGGGTGTTATATACGCATATATTCCAAGCACTTTAGCACATAGCCATACCCGAGAAATACTGGATGATTCATTAAGTGCCTGAGATGGACACTTTGAAGGTATAACCACACACACACACACACACACACACACACACACATCCATGAGCCACCATTCCATGATTTGCTAATACTGAAAAATTGTATGAGTGTGTTTATTTTTGTTTGCAATTGCTTCTTCCAGAATCATTTATTAATACAGAACAGAAAGTAATCTGTGGGGGTAGTTAGGAAAGCTTTTTAGAAGAAGTGATAGCTGCATAGGTTTTAAAAAATGAATAGAATTTGCCAGGGAGATAAGGGATGGAGGAGAGTTGGCAAGGAGGAATAGTGTGTGTGAAGGCACTGAGGTAACAAACAACATTTAGAATTCTAGGAAGTCATCCTATGTGGCGACAGCATGTTATATTAGTTTCCAATTGCTGCTGTAACAAATTAGCAAAAATTTAGTGGCACAAAACAACACAAATTTATTATCTTATGATTCTAGAGATTGAAGTGGGTCTCAATGGGCTTAAAGTGTTGGCAGGCTGTATTCCCTCTGGAGACTCAGGGGAGACTCTGTTTCCTTCCTTTTTCTAACTTCTAGAGGTTACCTGCATTCCTGGGCTTGTGGCCCTCTCCTCCACCTTCAAAGCCAGCAGTATAGCATCTTCCTATTTCTCTCTGACTCTGATCTCCTGCCTGCCTCTTCCACATTTAAAGGACTCTTGTGATTACATTGGACCCACATAGATGAGCCAGGATAATTTCTTTATATTAAGGTCAGCTGATTGGCAACCTTAATTCTGTCTACAATCCTAATTCCCCCATGCCATGTAACAGAACATATTCACAGGTGCCAAGGATTAGGCTGTGAACATCTTTAGAGGGCCATTATCCTGCCTGCCACACATGCAATGCAAGAAGTTGAGGGTGATGGTGCAGAGAAAAGTTGGTATGACCACTCAGCCCTGAGTGGAGAAAATCATTCACCCAAAAGGAGCCTATCATCTGATTTTTTTTTTTTAAAATGGAAGAGTCAAGGTTCGAGAGATTTTCCTTAGCTATAATGAGTGTGTTTCCATTAACTATTGCTTCCTAAGAAACCACATGAAAACTCAGTGCCTTAAAACAATAATGATTTATTATTTCTCATGAATCTGTGGTTTGGCTGCATGGTTCCCTTACTAGTTTCACCTGGGCTCATTCATAAAGCTCATTCAGGTGAAGGGTTGATAGGTCTAGAAGGTCCAAGAGGGCTTCACATTATCCAGCCATCAGTGGGGTTGCCTCGGTTGTTTTCAATGTGAATTCTTATCCTCTGCTGGGCTCCGTCAGCTTCCTTACATAGTACCCTCAGGGAAGCATTCCAATAGCATGGCAGTGGAGCTGCAGGGCCTCTAGAGATCTAGACTCTGGAACTCACATAGAATCACCTCTACCATATTCCCTTGGGCTTGGGCTGAGGAGTCACAAGCTTAGCATAAATTCAAGAGGAAAGGAAATAGATTGCACCTCCTGATGCGAGTTGCTGCAGTGGCCTCATTTCATCTAACATGTGCTATAAAGATAAGAGCTTTGTGCTGAGAGCGGAACTATAAAATTTGAGATTTCAGAGATAAAATATCTCTGGATGACAGCAATATCCAGCACGTGTCCAAAAGGATGAATGGCTCGAGCGGAGTGTGGTGAAGATCACTGGCTTTGAAGAAGAGAAGAAACTGTGAAGCTAGGATGTGAGATGCACTATCCCGTGGGCACAACAAGAAGAACACTGAGTAGGCAGGGAGTGTGGGAAATGTGGCAGAGTGGCCTTCAAGTCTCCAAGATGACAGTGATGATAGCAAGCAGGGAAGGTAAGGGATAATTGAACCAGATGAGGTGATTCTGGAGACCATGAAAGTCATGACCACACTTTTCTGAGTCAGCCCTGTGAGTGGTGGGCACCAGAACCACTTCACCACACCCTTCCCTTCCCAGCCTCCACATCATCTTGTTCACTTGCCCGTTTTCAGATAAACTGACCACTTCTGACTTCAGATGGTGTAGCACTAGGTTCTTCAGGTACCATTTGAACTGTTACCACCCATGTCTTGAGGATTCCATGAAAGTGTTGATTGAAGTTCAAGTTGGTTTTGAGTAAAGAGATGACAGACAGAACTGGTAGCAAGTTCCCAGATCCCATTCTCTCAAACCTTTCTTTCCCTTTTCTACCTTCTTTGTCTCCTCAGGTATGTACCTAAAGGAAAAAGGGTATCCACATAGATAGGCAGGATTTATGGCAGTAAAATTTATTAACAGCATTAAATGAATAATATTTATTACTCTCATTCGAGGTAAATAAAAATCAGAAACCAGATAGTCATTATCCAGATGGTCCTAAGAGCTCACTCAACCATAATAGTGCTAGATATGAATAAATTAGAGCCTGTAACAAGTGGAGAAGGATAAAATTGCATATTTTTATAATTACTGCCATAATTTAATGTTTATTTGTTTATGTGTAACAGATGAACAACTGATTTACAACAATACAAATGTAAGCATGAGTTTACGTCCTTGGCTCCAATTTCACACCCTAAAAATGCCTTTTAGAGTACCACAAAAGAATTTTCTACCCCAAATAAAAGATTTTTAGTATTTGGAAATTCAACAAATGCCTCCTGGAAATTCCATATCGGCCGCAAGTGATCTAGGCTATGAATATTTAATTCTGCCCTGTCTTTTATTTTCTCTTATGTATTATCCCCTTTGCACAAGGTTCAGCACCTTTGGCAGACAACTTTGGTCTTCTACAGATTGCTAGGGATTAGAGGACCCAGAGATGTTATTCTCACCTTTGACACAGAAATTCTTTTTAGGACTATGCATGAGATGTGTCTAAAAAGAGGTGGAGTAATGATAGTTTTTGTAATCATAGCCTTAAAACTAAGAAGGCTTCTGTTCCTCTCAAAGTAGGCTTCTGTAAAAGCTACACAGCTATTCCATCAATGCTGTCATGATTCAAATTATTTGGAGGATTCCTCACTAGAGGGCTGTTATCAGAGCTAGTTTGCAATCCCACATAAAAACCAGTTCTATATTTTTGGTGTCCTATCCCTGTTTTCACTAAGTCCAGACATTCCCCCAAATTTTAGGGATTGACTCTCTATGATGTTTATCTATCTGAAAAATAAAATTGACTCTTGAAAAAATAAGGTTTTATACCACTTAGGGTAGTCAGACTACCTTTTTTTTTTTTCCGAGGGGTGTACATTTTATTGGAAACCTTAAATACTCTTCAGACAGAACAAAATGTCTTCAATCAAGGCTCTTGTGTGGCCTACACAGAAAACTGAAGGTTTTTGGATTGGGGACAAGGAGAGGGACAACAGGATGAGTGCTTAGTTTGCCAAAAAGACCCCTCACGATGCATGCTCTTCAGCCAACTTAACAGCTTTTTCCACAGCTTCTTCAATGGGTCCCACCATATAGAAGGCCTGTTCTGGGAGATGATCATATTCACCTGCCAAAATCTGCTGGAATCCTTTGATAGTTTCCTTCAGTGGTACCAGCTTCCCCATATGACCTGTAAAGACCTCAGCAACCTGGAATGGCTGAGACAAGAAACGCTGTATTTTTTGTGCACGGGACACAGTCAACTTGTCTTCCTCAGAAAGTTCATCCATACCTAGAATGGCAATGATGTCCTGAAGGGACTTGTAGTCTTGCAGGATCTTTTGTACCCCACGGGCAACGTCATAATGCTCATTGCCAACAATGTTGGGATCCATGATGCGAGAGGTGGAGTCTAGAGGATCCACAGCTGGATAGATGCCCAGTTCAGCGATAGCACGGGACAGCACAGTGGTAGCATCCAAATGGGCAAAGGTAGTGGCAGGGGCAGGATCAGTCAAATCATCAGCAGGCACATAGATAGCCTGCACAGAGGTGATAGATCCCTTCTTGGTGGTGGTGATTCTTTCCTGCATAGTACCCATGTCAGTGGCCAGAGTAGGCTGATAGCCCACGGCAGAAGGGATTCTGCCCAATAAGGCAGATACCTCTGAGCCAGCCTGGGTGAAGCGGAAGATGTTATCAATAAACAGCAGTACATCTTGACCTTCTTGGTCTCTGAAGTATTCAGCCACAGTCAGTCCCGTCAGAGCTACCCGGGCACGAGCACCGGGTGGTTCATTCATTTGACCGTACACCAGTGCCACCTTGGAGGTAGCATCTTTTAAGTTGATAACGCCAGACTCAATCATTTCATGGTATAAGTCATTGCCCTCACAGGTCCTCTCACCAACACCAGCAAACACAGAGTAACCACCATGGGCTTTGGCGACATTATTGATTAACTCCATGATCAGTACAGTCTTGCCAACTCCGGCACCACCAAAGAGCCCAATTTTGTCACCCTTGGCATAGGGAGCTAGCAGATCCACAACCTTGATACCAGTTACCAGAATTTCCTGTTCGACACTCATTTCCATAAATTCGGGAGCCTCAGCATGAATAGCAGCAAATTGTTTGGTTTTGATGGGACCTCTCTCATCAATAGGTTCCCCGATGACATTCATGATTCTGCCCAAAGTCTCAGGACCAACAGGAATTTTGATTGGTGCACCAGAATCGAGGACTTTCTGGCCTCTAACCAAGCCTTCTGTACCGTCCATAGCAATGGTCCTTACTGTGCTCTCCCCCAAATGCTGGGCCACCTCCAAAACTAGCCTCGTCTCTCCGAAGTTGTAAGGCTCCAAATTGGGCCTGTTTTTCTGATTTAGGCTATGTCATGGTAATATCACCAGACACTTGTCAAAGAGTGTTAAGAAGTGTTACCATTTTTATTCTGGAATCTAGAAATGACCCATAAAAATATTCTTAACCCACCTTGCCAACTCTATTATCTTTTATTAACTATGACCTCTTCCCTGCCCCTCCCTCTTCACCCAAAACCTTTTCTGCTTTTTTTGCTTAATATCTGCTATGCTCCATCTTATATTTATGTTCTTCGATTTTCAATGAGTTGTCCTTCAGTTAGCTCTTCTAAATTTTATCCTTTTTATAGATCTTTGTTACTATTAAGTTTATGAGTTTGCATCTCATTCTGAGCTCCCACCTGACTCAATTTTGTTGTCATCTTAAAGGCATTCATCTTCAGTATCATGATTATAATTTTTGAAACCATCAGTATGTTTCAGGTACTGCACCAGGGACTTAAAGCATTAGTTCACTTAATCCTCACAACAGCCTTAGGAGATAAGTATTATTATAATTCCCATTTAACAGATGAGGAGGCCTAAGCCTCCAAAAGTGCGAACAAAATTTGCCTAAAGTCAAGAGAGTGGAAAGTGGAGGAGTAGAATGTAGGAGTTAGGATTCAACCTCCCCCCACATCTAAGGGAGGGTTTCTCAACCTCAGCACTATGACATACTGGACCAGATATTTCTTTGTAATGGGGGGCTGTACCCCCAAATATGTCTTTGTAGTAGGGGGCTGTCCCTACAAACAAACACCTATGGACCAGATATTTCTTTGTAGTGGGGGGGGGGCTGTCCTGTGCATTGCAGTATGTGTAACAGCAGCATCTCTGACCTTCTACCCACAAGAAGCCATAGAAGCCCCCTCCCGCTCCATGTGACAACCAAAAGTGTCTCCAGATATTCCCTAGGGTATGTTTAAGAACCACTAATCTAACACCAAATTCATGCTTCTGCTACATTATACTTTATTTTTTTTAAGAGACAGGGTCTGTCACCCAGCCTGGAGTGCATTGGTACAATCACAGCTCACTGCAACCTTGAACTCCTGGGCTCAAGCACTCCTCTCGCCTCAGCCTCCAAAGTAGCTAGGACTACAGGCATGTGGCACCACACCCAGCTAATATTTTTCTCATGTTTTGTAGAAATGGGGGTGTTTCTCAGGCTGGTCTTGAACTCCTGGCCTCAAGAGATCCTCCCACATCGTCCTTCCAAAGTGCTGGGATGACAGGCATGAGCCACCATGCCCAGCCACATTGTACTGTCAAGCAGGGAACTAATGAAACCATAGAATTTTAAAACTGAATTTTAAGGAGATTAATTTTAGTATCACTACACCTGGCTGATCATCAGAACTGGAGATTTTTTTAAGACTCTCTTTCCCTGCCCAAGATGTTCAGAATCAGCATTTGCCAGGTGGAGGACAGGTATCTGTCTATTTTAAGCCTCTCTATGGTGCAGGAACTACAGATCAAATCCTACCCTAACCACACATCTGTTCCTTGAGTCACTACACTCTGCTCCTGCCAAATCGTTCTCCAGCCTCGGGTTTAACACCTCCGGCTACGGCGTTACAGTCGACAATTCCACACCCTTCGCTTTCTGAGACGAGTCCATGTTCAAATAGTCCTAACTGTGAAAAAGTACTCTCTTTAATATTCTTCCTCATATCTCTCTGGCTCTGCCCTTAATCTCATATTATACAAGTTATCATTTTTCTCAAATCAGTTGAATTGAACAAACACCCATGGAGTCCCAATGATGTTATTAGGCTCTACTCTGAACAGTTTCTTTACAGTGGCCATTAAAATCATTATCAACTCTTTAAAAATGACCGTCTAACCAGTTTTCTTAGTTTCACAAGTAAGACTTCCATCACTTCCCAGCCTTCTGGCTAAGACGAAATGTACTATCTGTTCTTATTAGTGTAACAATAGACTTTCTCAGAGGGGCAATTACAATTAATTAGAATCGTAAAATCATGCATGGTTGGTCTCCTGTCCAGCTGCTGCCAGTCTGGACAGTTTATGTGCCCCAGTTTATGGGGGGCCCTGTCCCTGGGGACACCAAGCTGGCAACAGCTTTTTCCCTTCTTCTTGACCCCTTATCAGAAACCCTCTTTAAACCTTCTTGGATGGTTTCAGGAAGATTCCAAAGTAGCTCCCTTTCCTGGTGAAATCATTCTTTACCATATGCTCCAGATTTCTCTATGAAAACACAGATGGGAAGAGAATTTTTTTTCCAAATCTTGCTTTATATTGGGCCCTCTTGAGAATACCTTTTTTTACAAATTTGATTAATTTAAAGAAATGAATAAATATACGTTAATTTGATTAAATTCAGGCTTACAGTTTACTCTTTTTTGAAGACAGGTAAGTCTTTCAGCCTGCACTCTTGATTCTTCACTAAGTCACCATAACAGTTTTGAATCTGTAGAAAACTACTTTTGAACGACAGATACTGGGTAATCGAGAGGTTGCAATGGTGTGGACGCCAGTGTTGCCAGGGCAGCTTATGCCCCAGTGTCAAAGGTGAGCCCTACAGGTGACAGGTCTTGCTAGCGGGTCAACACGAGTAGCCGGTGAGCTATAAATGTGTGCCAGCTGTCCTGACAGCGCCCGGACAGGGCTCCAACAGGCAGGTGGTGTTTAGAGAAAACCAAGGAGAAAATAACACGTTAACTGGAATAAACCGTTTGGGGTCAAAATAACAGTCTGGTGTTTTTGTACTTGTGTGAGATATAAAAAGAAAACTTGAGTTTCCATTGGGCTGAGTATGAACTTCCAGACGTCTTGCCCATGCTTGGGCACCTCCAAAGAAGCAGCTGGACAAAGGCATAAACTGCCTGACCCCCTCACATCTTCGATTGTTCCAGAAAGCCTCCGTGTCTTTAGTGTGGGGTCTTCAATGCAGTATCTACTCTTTTCTTACAGAGTTTTATAAATGGAAACTGACATGGACTACGAAAGACCCAACGTTGAAACCATCAAGTGTGTGGTCGTGGGCGACAACGCCGTGGGGAAGACGCGTTTGATCTGCGCCAGGGCGTGTAACACCACACTCACGCGCTATCAGCTGCTGGCCACCCACGTCCCAACCGTGTGGGCGATTGACCAGTACCGTGTCTGCCAGGAGGTAAGATGTACAGAGTGTCTTCAGAATTCTTAAGGCATATCATTGCTATTGGTCCATCCGATGTTTGAAAAAGGAGGAGAGTGGGTAAATTTCACATTCAAAAAAAAAAAAAAAAACAACTAACCTTTTTAAGTACCCAAAGAGGAAACAAAAAGCAAAATGCAAACCTGGGAGTGTGGCTCTGGCATCCTGCATGAGGGTTTGAGTCATGTGATTCTGGGAAGAGAATTAGGACTTAGCTTAAGTCCCGTTAGATGGAAAAAGGACATGAAATGCAAGTGAGTCGAGGGCACTGAAGGGTCTTGACTTGGATGTCCTCTCCTGGGAAGCCTCTGATTTCACACAGATGCCTTACTCTCTCCTGCAGGTCTTGGAACGTTCCCGGGATGTCGTTGATGAAGTGAGCGTGTCTCTAAGGCTTTGGGACACTTTTGGCGATCATCACAAAGACAGACGTTTTGCATATGGCAGGTAAACCAAGACCAGGGCACACAGTTGAGCTTGAGTACAATTTCCTTTTCAAAACCAGCAACTGGTCCCCAAATCAACAAAAACCACATCATATGGCCTTGAAATGTGTTGGGTTCTGCACTCTGTATAAAAAAAGAAAGAAAGAAACGGTATGGTTTCCTGATGTCAAAAAAGAAAGAAAGAAAAAAAAAAGCAGAGCCTGCCTTGCCACTGAAAAAGATCCTTGTTTAAAACAAACAGTGCTAGTTAAGTTGGAAAGTTTGCTAGATGGGGATTTTGTAATGCCCTCTAGCCTTGGGCTGCTTTGATTGCGGGTTTCCTGAATGATACTTCATTTGCCTTCTGTTAGAATGTTTTAAGTTATTTTAGCACTTGGTCACCCTACTTCTGAAGGTCTCTTTGGTCTCTTCATGACCATATTAGCAGCGTCTACTGTTATTTGCTTTGTGCTTTGTGTTATCTGAAAAGTCTATTATTTTTATTTGAAGGTCATTTTTTAAAAGAAAGAAAAATACCTCTGAAGTCCTTCACAAGGGATGTTTTCAAAATGAACTGAAACACTAATGTCTATTTTTATTAAAAGAAAAAAAAAGAGGAAGTAAAAATCCAGTCATAGGAAGATTAATCTAGAAGGACAATAATATGGGTAGGAACACAGTTAATGTGCCTTAAAATATTTAGCAACTTCTCCTTTTCACCATAACTTAAAGTCTCTCTCAGTGAAGGGTTTATAACAGCTATTAAAAACTGGATAAGCAGAGATTTTTTTTTTAACTGCTTAATTATAAGTGAACACATTTCATTGTAAAAATTTAGAATTTAGATGTCATGGCTTAGTTGTCCAAACATCATGTTACCTGACAGGGTTGGATTAGTTAGATACTCCAAGCATAGGAGTTCCTCCTTGGTATTATTGAGATAAGCATTTCTGAAAGTGCCTCTATTTCTTAAAGACACTAGCTCTCTGAACAGACTTTCATTGGCGTTTATCCAAGTGGTCTAAAATACCAAGTAAACTGCTGGAAGGCGTTTGCCCTGTTCCTGGGAAGCAGCTCACACACAGAAAGAATCTGCGATTTAGACCAGTTTTTTCAGGGGGACTCAGAAAAAGGCATATGGAAGTAAAACAAGATTTTAATGTCCGCTCGGTAACAAGGACTTTTGAACTTAATATCGAGCATCGTAGACACTTTTCTCTCCTTAAATTCCCTGAGGTTTGTTTTTTCTTTCCATGATGCTCTTGATTGTTATCTTAGTTGCCATTTTTGGTTTTATCTTTTGCCCAACCGTTCTACATATAAAAAGAATCATAAATGAAACTGCTTGTCAATACTGTGCAGTCAGATTTACCATATCTGTGGTTTTAAGGAAGCATGATTTAAAAATGATGACTTTAAGCCATGTAAGGCCAGACGCAATAGATTCTAAAGGACTTTTTGTATCCCCACTTCTAATAAAGGTGTCATTGGAAGGGCCTGACAGATATTTCAACAGCTCCGTGGTTTGTTGCCGCTTGAAATGTACGCATTTGAACAATGACTTTTAACAACGAATCTTAACAACGTAAAACTTGTATTGTAGTAATAGAAGAGCTGCTTCGTCGTCATGTGAGATTCCTGCTTAGCATTTATGTGAAGGTGCGATGGCCTTCGTAGGTGTACACTGGGCCTTGGCCAGCTCCCTGACGTAGCTGGAGTCATTTTACAGCACGTCATGCCTGTGTTTGTTCCCTCCCAACAAAAATAAGCTGCTCTTTCCTGTGACTCCATTGGTTCAAAGTGCATTGTTCTTGCTCTCTTGTGTGTAACGTTTGGCTCTGTCAACTGTAACCCACTCGCCCTGTGACGGAAACAGGAAGTGCTCCCCAAGCCTATTTTGATCCTCTGGCAACACAGAGGGGCTTCAGGAAACACTCCTGTGTTTCTGGCCACATTCTCCTTGTACCCTCACTTTGTGTGCATGTTTGTATTTCCTCTGTCTCTCCCAGTTCTCCACAGCCTCTGGGTGTCCTGCCGCGACCCCCACCTCTAGTAAAGAACAAAAACCAGAGTACTCTCTCTCTCAGACTCCAGCATCTTTCTGTAAATATTAAATATATAATACCATATTGATGCCATACCAAAAAGTTACCTTTTTTTGGAAAAATCTGATGGTAGTAGTTCTTTTATTCAGCACAGGGGCTCTGACCAGTGCATTTCGTTGCTCCGAGAGCTGCTTAATTTCTTATTGGTGTTGGCTCCCATTTTTAGCTTTTTATCATTTGTAAAGGAGAAAAATCCTAATTACAGCTTCTGACAATCAGTTTGATTTGCAAACCTGTTTTTTTTTTTTTTTGACTGATGTTTTTACTACGCTTGGTATGAATTACAAGTCAGTGGGAAGTGCACAGACATAACTTTTAGGCATGTGGAATATATTCCCTATCCTTGGAAGTATATTCGAAACCTTTTTCAAATAATTAACTTGAATCTCGTGGTGACAGTGAGAGAAACCAGATTTATACTAAGATGTCTTAGACCTTGCCTTCAGTTTCCTTTGTTTCTTAGCAAAAAGGTGGTTAATAAGTTGCTCCCTCAAACATTTTCTGACATGGACAAACCCTAGCTTGCGGAGTGGATTCTGTGGGTCAAGGGAGTGTCAGTGGAAGGCAGGCTGCCAACTTGAACTTGCAATTTTCCTGATGTGGTATAACTATAACCAGAAAGCCGCTGCTCTCCTCATGATTTAAAGGCAACTATTCAGCCCGTGTTTTCAGCTAACTAGAATAATTGCTCCAATGTATCAAAGACCTACTACTGTGTTTCTCCAAAAGTAAGACCTACCCATAAAATAAGCCCTAATAGGATTTCTAAGCATTTGCACAATATAAACCCTATCCCGAAAATAAGACCTAGTGATGGGTGTGGCTACGCAGCATATCTGCACAACCCATGCATTTGGTTGTGGAGCTGTAAAAAAGATGAGCAGCCCTTCTCATCTACCCTATGAGAGCTCTATTGCTCAACATGAGAGATTGGGGCCAATGGTTCTAAAGGGAATAGAGTTGCAAGAAATTCAGGATGGAATTCGGGGTTTGGAGAGTTATGATGATGTTCCAGAAGAAGACAACTTAACTATATTTGAATAAATGTAGATCATTGCACTGTACTTAAAAAAAAATAACACATCCCCTGAAAATAAGCCCTGGAGTGTCTTCTTGAGGAAAAATAAATGTAAGACCCTGTCTTATGTTCAGGGAAACATGATATGTGCCAGTCAATGTATTAAGTAATTTGTCAGCATGAGTTAACCCTTGCAGGAAGAGGCTCTCTTCATGCTACAATTGAGTAGAGTTGAGTTCCTTTACCACCGTAACTTGCCCATTGGTGAGATTCAGGGGCAGATTCAAACCTGGCTCTGTCTTCCTCCCAGCTCCTTCTTTTCCCACTGTGCCAAACTACCTCCACCTCATTTTAAATAGGATGCAACTGAAAACTACCTCACATTGGGGAGCTGGGTTTCTATTTGCTCTTCCATATTTGTGCAAAGGCTTAGAACCAGAAGATCTCAAAAGGTCATCTGCTTGACCCCTTTTCTTCAGGAAACTAAATCATCCATCCATCTAAGAAAAAGTATCAGCAGGAGCCCTTGTATTCCATAGGGATGAAGGGAACAGAGTAGCATCAGCATCGTAGCCCTTCATGCATTTCAAACCTGTCAGACCCTCTCTTCTCTGGAGTGAATGATGCCAACTCTCTCGTGGTCTTTCTTCCCACCACCTACTTTCTATCCACTTTTGGATGAACTTTTGAAGCTCTTTTCTGGATCTTTTAAAATGTCAGGAACAAAACCATACATAGCAACAGTGACTATGATCAGCTGCTCTTTTTTTGGCAAGGAAAGAAATCCCTCTTCTTAAAGGGATATCACTCAAGAGTTGTCCCCTGGAACCCTTATAAGAAGGAAATATTTATATTCAGATACTTGGCACTGAAAATGTAGACAAATAGGATGGGCTCTGCCTTTAACAGGGCATCCAGGCCCCTCAGTACCTCTCCTCTAGTCACACACATGTAAATCATTACAGATTTTACTGTCTCATTTTCATACGACCTCCTTCATTGATCTGTCTGAGGGTCAGATAACCTTCAGACATTTAATAAAGAGTTTCACATCATTTAAAAGCTAGCAGTTCAAAAAAACATTTTTCTATTATTGGAGAAAGTGGGGTTGAGTTTTATTGCTACATATCATAAAATAGTCCTTTGCAGGATATTATGCAAGCCTTAAAAAGTTTTCTTTAAGCTAAAGTGATTTGATTGTAAAGTTTAAACTCTAGGGGAATTAACATAACAGTATTTCTATACAGAATGGGTTTCTTAAATCCACAGTAAAACTTCAGACTATTCTGTTTCTAGGCTGTTGAAGATGTATCAAAGTGATGGTAACAATTAAACTTTGTATTTTTCTCACCAGCTGCCTTTACTTAATAAAAAAAAAAAAAAAAAAAAACTTTGTATTAAATTTTTTAAAAACTAAAAAAAAAAAAAAAAGCCTAGGTTAGCAAACTTGGTGGTACAACAGCTGCAATTTAATCAAAGCGCCCCATGAGCCAGGCCTGTGCTAGGGACACCGCGTGTCCTGTCCTGCTTCATGCTTGTGGTAAGCCTGCAAAGTAGGCTCATTTCACAGCTGGGGAAACAGGCATAAAAAAGGGGCCAAGGTCAGACTGCTAGGGCAGAGTGGAGCTAAACTTTCCTCTTGTGTCTGTCTGGCTCCAAAGCCCATATCTTCCAACTCCACCATGCTGTTGTGGCTGGTGATGATGATGGATGACAAACTTACTTTAAATTCCCCTGTGGTACAGTCTGAATCTTACATGGTCCCATATGGACCCTGAAGACCAGCACTCAACCATCTGTCACCAGCTTCAATATTCAGGTGCCCCTCTTAAATTCTTCAATCTGTAGCAAACAACTTAATTATTTATATGCATCCATAAGTAGCTAAAAATGAGTCCT